GCCTTTGGCCAATAGCATCAGGTTCTTCATTTCCAACTGGGAAGCCCTTGAAGTCGGAAATGGCTTTGTTCTTCTAAGTTGCCTGAGTGTCCATGCTATTTAGTATTACTGTCAGTTTGCTGATTTCCAAAGTTCTTCCTCTTTCACTGTCCTAAAAAAATAGTTCCTTCTCTGCTGCTTTGACTCTTCTCTGTGGCAGAGTCATGCGCAGGGCACTTCTGTTCAGCCCTCTTGGCTCCCTCTGCCACAGCATTACCTGGTAATGCCAACTTCTCCACTGTCAGTAGCTGTTTAAGCAGTTTTCCAACTTTGCCTTCTCCAACTTTATGGAATTTTGCTACCTTTTTATTATTACTTATTTTTGTACTATTTATACTACTCACAACTTGGCTGTTTCTGTTTTTATATTTTTGTATTGTTTTGACCTTGTAATGCCAGGTAGTCCTAACAGTCAATAGGAGACCAGTTGACTAAGACCTGGATCAGACAGATGTTAGCATGGGGGAGGGCTTTTCAGGTGGACACCAGCATTGTAAGAAGTCAGCTCATTTGTGAGTGTTTTTGTGTCATTATGACGTTTGTTTTCCTGTAGGGACTGAGACAGTGATCACTGTTGGCAGAGGACACCTTGTATTTGTAACCTGTGGGTCTCCCCTGCTACACTGGGAGCTCCCTGGGGTAAGGCAGGGATGTGACAAGCAGACCTGTCAGGACTTCAGTGTTGGATGACTAAGTGAATGGCCTGGGAGAGCTCACTTTTATGGCTTTTGACTAGAACGTCCCCACAAGTTCCTCAAGATCTCTGTCCATCTTGCCAAATCACAGCTTTGCTCTTGGAAGCCCTGCCCCAGTCCTTGGGCCTTTCTTGGAGAAGCAGGTTCCATTATCCACCAGAAAAGGGCAGGGCCCTCTACCTCTAGCTTTGGCGTATTATTATTATCAACCCTTTCACTCTTCAGATGGTTATCTTTCTTTTCCCCATCCGATTTCAAAGGGTGAAAAGGATTAAGGGAAAGGGAAAGAGGCCATAGTAAAACCTCAATCCCTCACTCCTTTAGATCATCAACTCAGAAAACAGTTCTGAAGTCCCGGTATCAGGCCTCTTCAGTGAGGACAACAGGCTAATGACTCAAAAAAAAAAAAAAAAAAAAAATCAGTTCCTGAGCAGAGAATAGAGCTGTTTCAAGCCTTTGTGATCCTGGATGAGGCTCCAGACACTTACCCTCAGTCTGGTCCCTGGCTGCCCCGACGGAGTCTTGCTATTCCTCCTCCCACCCATCTCCCTTGTTGAGTACTATGCAGTGTTGAGGATTCAGCAGAAGTTTTGCCTTTCCCATGACACACTGCCCAAGACACACCCTCCTGCAGAGTTGATCACTCCCAGCTCAGTCCCCACTGCGCAGACTGATAGCCTAGCCACAGGCCGCAGTCCTGTCTGCACCTGTCGGCTTCCTCTCATTCTTGGGAAGCACGTTGCCTCCTTCTTTGCGTCCTGGCCTAGTGTTAGGAATATAGGTAGACACCAAGATGCCTTCTGTAGGAATAAATGAATAGTAATTCTTTGCATGCCACTTTCCTCCCCCAGAGGCCTAGCCGGAGAGTCCCTGGAACTGTGTCTGTTTCACCCTGACCACAGTAGCACACTTATTGCCACTAGGAGCTGGCTGTTCATTCAGGACTAAAATGAATAATCAGCTTTCCCCAGGGTTGCTTTTGCATCCTTAGGCCACTTCTGCCCAGGCCTTGGATGGGACTGTTCTCTTATTTTGGCATTGAGAGAATTAAGACTTAAGGCCAAGAGCTCTACTTTTTGGAGTGCCAGAGCAGAGGAAATAAAACTTGGATCACAGTTGTGAGGGATCTGCTAAAATATGATCTGCTAGGACGTCATCTGCACAAGACAAAGTATTGAGCTCTTATAATTATATACAACAGCATCATTGAAGGTTAGCTTGAAACATGGCATCCTGAACACTTCTTGTTAAGCACTCACCTATGTGAATTCCCTAATCCACATTTACTGTCCCCACTTGGTCTCATTTGCTCAAGATTGAATATCCACCCAACAGCCCAGAAGGCATGAGACACCAGACAGAAATATATATATTTTGTTAACTTTTACTTTTTTAATATTGGGTAAAATTTGTCTCTCATCCATTCTTTGAAAGTAAAAAGTATTATCCAATTTGTTTTTTCTTCCACTTTAAGGAGGTGGATATTGGAGGTAACAGGGAAAGGGTTTTAGAAGCACAATTTTGAATTCCTTTATTTCAACATGGAGGCTGGGTCTGATTGAAGGTGCTTGTCTACCCTTGACTCGGTCACTAGTGGTATGTGATGGTTTGTAGACTTCTGCTAGATGGGTTCCTCTTCTTTTGAGATGGCTCTCTTTCAAAAGAGCTTCACTGGGGCCCGGGTTAGAGTTTTCACAGGCAAAGGCCATTTATCTAATACAAAATCCAGATAGGATTTCTGCACAGCAATGGAGGGACAAAATTAGAAGGGGGCTTGCCACTGACCACCAACAACTAATCCAGAAATTAGTAGGCATCTGTTTCTCATGCAAGTTGAAATCATTTATTCAGCGCCTACAGTGGCTGAGTATTTAGTGTTTACCAGACCCAAGACTTGGCACTTGGGTGATAAGTTGAAGGAGACAAAATCCCTATCACCGAAGAGTTCTTGGGGCTGGGAGCCATTCGTATATATATGATAATTAGAAATCATGGCACATGCCATCAGGGAGGAAGTGAACTGAGACTGAGAAAGCAGTGAGATGAGCACTTCTGAACTGAACACTGACTGGAGGAGAGTGGAGGGGGACTCTGTAGATGGAAGTCATTTGTCACATGTGCCCATGGAAAGAGATTCATCTGAGCTTTGTGTACAGTCCACATCATCTGGAAGTAGTCCCTGATATGTTTGGCGTGGATCCATAAGAGTGCCCCCAGGTTTTGTTAGTTCTTCTTCCCCAGCATTTCCTGGGGGTCACTTAGCTAAGCTGTGGGGTGTGAGCTCCCTGGTCCATGTCCTCACCCACTGTCCAGAGAACCTGGGCTCTCACATCATCCTAAGAAGATCTGGTGCCTGCAAGATTATAAGGAATCTATTTTTAGAATATTGGAGCTGAAAATAAATAGGAAATAGGGGACTCTCAGGGGATTGATTTTTTAATGAAGAATTTGCCAGCCCTGAAATCAAGCAGTTAAAAAATTCACTGCACTAGCTTCCCCAGGGGTTAGACCCTTAAAATCTTTGTGACAAAGAAAATTGTTTGTCAGGGTGGCCCGGCCATAAATACTGAAGGAAGCTGTTCAGATTTGAAAAACTGGGGAAAATTTAAGGGCATTAAATTCTCATAAAGATTTTTATACATTAATTTTGAATAGACCTAACAATGCTAAATCACCAAGTACCCACCAGGCTTCGTGGGTGACAAGTGAAAAATTCTGTGTGTGTTTTTAAAGGTATTCAGGACTGCTTTACTGTGACCAGGGTCTGTGGATACTTTGTTACTCTGTGCCTGCCCTCTTGGCTTTACTGCAATGTCCAATTTCTGGTGTGACTACTTAAGGGGTTCATTGGTCCACACCTCCCTGCCCAGAATTGGGTAATATATGTACTGATGGGAAACAAACCCAAGCCTCACAGCCGTAGACTCGGATCAAAGAACTACTTGATCAGAATAGCACTTTACTGTATCGTCTTTTGGTTCATTTGCTGCCCCCTATAATTCAGACTTTTTAGAAAAGATTTTTCTTTTTAAATTTCACATAATGTGAAGTAATGTGAGAGATCCCCTGGTCTGTTAACATGCTCTCCTCGCCAGCACCATTGCTTTGTAAGCTATTCTCCCTTCCTGAGCAGAGGTATTTTACTGATGCCTCTGGCCTCCACCTTCCCAAGGGGCCAGTCACAAGAGATCAGACATGGATTCAAGCAAATGCCAATGGTAGTTTGATTTTTTTTGCCTGGGACTTCCCTCCCCTGGCTCATATCCCTGTACTTCCTGAGAGAATTCCTCCTGTGTGGCTTCTGTGTTTTATGCCTATTGTCAGGCATCACCCACACCAGGAAGCACAGAGGGCCATCGCTGCAGAATTCTTAGCCATCTAACATATAGATGTTAATACCCTTAACATCTATATTCACCTGAATATACCCTCAGCTCCCAAGATTTCAGGAGCAGGAAAAAATATTCTCATAACATCGGGGACACGTTTCCAGAGCCTGTTTGTTCCAGGCCTGTGCTTGCTGGCTTTTTTTGGTCATTTGCTCAGGATATGCTTATGGAGCACCTGCTGTATTTTGGGCACTGACTCAGAAATTTCACATTCACTTCTAGCAAGGCCTCCCTGGGCGCCTGACCCCCACCCCCCAAACGTTATTTTCAATCATTTGGCAAAGGATTTCTGAACCATTCTAAGAGCACACAAGGGTATGTGGTTTGGATATTGAAATTTCTCTGAATTAAGTCAGACAATATATTTGAAATCTGAACTGACCAAGAAAAACACAGGTGATGTGCTTTTCAGTCATCAAAATCAGTCCCTCTGCCTCTTTAAAATTGCAGGCTTTAATTTTTCTTTTCCATTCAGAGTATCTTGGGCATGATTTTGTAAGCCATTTGTTAACTAGGTATGCATATTTTTCCTTAAGAAAAAAACAATTGTATAATACCCTTAACTCTATTCATTAAGGACTTTCAGTTTGATAGACAACTTTTTCTACATTTTCTTTCAATAGTTAGCCTAAGGGGAAAGAAAAGGTCCTAGAGTTATAAAACTCCTGGGAGGGATGGTAGGAATAGAAAAGCAAACCTAGACACCCTGGCCTGTTCTGTGTACTTGGAGTCCGCCCTTTTCCAAAGGTGTTCCTCTCCACTGAAGTATCCCATCATTAGAGTCCACTTGCCCCCTCTGCCTGTCCCCTTGTCCTGGGCTGGGTATTGCCATATCCCTTGGGTTCTCACTGCTGTCTATCCTCTTGTTGTGTTCTAGTCTCCATCTCCTGGCAGTTCCTCACCCCTGGGTGCAGAATCGTCGAGCACACCCCTTCATCCCAGTGACCCCGCGGAAGCCTCCACAAATAAAGAGGTAGGGCACCATGCGCCACCACAGCCATTGGCCCATTGTGCTTTATTCTAACACTGCTCTGTGAGGTCTGCAGCCCCTGCGGCACAACTGGCCCAAATTACCCCAGGGAAGAACACTGATTTTTCCAATCCAGTGTATAATTTATCTGGTAAAATTATTCCATCCTATTTGATAGCCATGGTTGTCTATTTTAATTAATTTTAATATACTTTAATTGAGTAAAATGAAAAATTTATGTCCTCCTCCATGCTAGTTAACATTTTAAATGCTCAGTGGCCACCTGTGGCTACTATATTGGACATAGCAGGTCACAGGACTTTTACATCCTTGTAGACAGTTCTATTAGATAACACTGGACCCTATCAGAAAATCCAAGTACCAGAATCCTTCCTCTGGCATTAGGTGCCTTCTGATACCATGGATTGACAGTTGCTGTGTGATTTGGGAAATGAGTTGGTTTCTTAAATACCCATTTAGTTCAGGCCCAGGTGAAATCTAAAAGCCAGTGACCACATGTCCCAGTTTACCTGGAGTGTGGTTCAGCTTCACATCTGATTGTCAGTACACCTTTCTACAATGGTGCTGTCCAAGAGAACTTTCTGCGATGATGGAAATGTTCTACTTCTGTACTGTTGGGTAGGGTGGTCCTTAACCTCACATGTTCCTAACCTCCTTAAAATGTGGCCAGTGGGGCTGAAGAACTGAATAGATCTTCATTAACTTAAAAGGCATACATGGCTGGGCACCACTGGATGGAACAGCTCTAAGGTGTCCCTGTTGGACAAGTTGTATGTTCACCCCTACTTATAGAGAACTCGTTGAGCTCTGACAGATCATATTAAAAAAAGATGCTATTTTTTCCTTCTGAGGTTTCTGGGGCTACAAAAGGGCAGAACCCAATGCCCTTTACACCCAGGTAACTGTCATCCCACCTATTTGTGGGCCAGCACCACAGAAATATTGACCTGCGCAATAATCTGTGCGTGAGCTCCAAATATAGATGTTCCCTCTTCCACACTGCAGAGATGTGTCAAAGAGGTGAGCCATATAATGAATGATTGGGTTCTTCCATTGCATGTAACATAAAATTATCAGCAACAGGAGAGAACTTGAGATGATCTATTTTAACTTGAGTGGCAGATTGCTTTTAAAAGGGAGTCTTAGCCAAAGTTTACCCTTAAAGTGCCATGGAATATATACGCTATTCATGGGAGGGAGAAGCATATTTTTTTATTAATGTTTATATCAAACCTTTTCTGAAATGGCACTAGTATTAGACTGGAAATATATTTTGTCCTCCTCTGTCTGTCCTCTAACCCTAGGCTACTGTGACAGGATCCTCCATTTGTTTGCTTCATATTCTATTCATAGTACATGGGTGGGTAAGAAACAGTAGAATGACAGCTGCAATGATAACAGCAGTAACGAGCATTATCATTTATTGAGCATGTACAGTATTCTAAATGCCAGACTGAGCAAATCAGATAGTATCTCATTTAATCCTTAAGTTAATTCTGTGAAGTGGATATCATTGCCTTCATTTCTTAGTTGAGAAAGCTAAGAGGTTAAGTAACTTACCTGAGGCCACAGACTGCAGAGACAAGGTAGCTTGTAGGTAATTATTTTAATTGTGAAGACTCCAGGCTCTGCACATAGTTTGTGTGAGCCCCAGGAAAACCCCAAAGATCTCAGACTTTAGCTTCTTGAATGCAGCTTTATTATCTCTTGAGTGCTAATGGGTGGCTGATGTTCATCTCAGTCCACATGTGAGAAAACAAAGAGCTAATCAGATGTCTGAATATCCAGCCTTTGATTAGGTTTCAGATATAATGAGCAAGGCAAATTTGTTAGTTTTTCAGTTCCTACAAAGACTTGGCTCATGCTTCTGCATATCCTTAGAAATAATGATGAAAATCCTCCTTGTGTGCAATAATTAGAGAGTATTTCATTTCACCAAACTTTTTTTAAACTGATTACCCCAGAAACCAAAGAAAGCTAGTCATGAGTTCATAAATAGTAAGGAAATGTACCAAATGCTTACCATTGTAGCTCTAAATAAAACAGCAGCTTTTATAACCAGAGACTAAAGAAATTCTTCTTGTAGCATCTGCTAAAACTTGGACACTGTCTTTGAAATTTGCATTCAGGAAAGTATCCTAATAGCCTAAGAAAATCCAAACTGGCAACCTGGATGTATTTGGAGACTAAGCAGTGTAAATTCCCAAACCTGCTGCGCACTTGCTACTGGGCACAAGGGCAGGAAAATGGTTGGGAAATTATAATTTAAGACTTTGGCCATTATGAAGAAATTCATATAACCAATTGTGGGAGTTGATCTTTAAACCAATCAGAATTCTATTGGCACTCAGCTGGCCCTGTCCTGACTTGGACAAGTAGAATTGGAGTTCGTACCTCCTATCCTGGCTTATATTTGGTGTTGTTTTTCCATAAACACATTAGCAGCCAGTAACCTTTCATTCCTGATGCACAAGAAATCCCCCCACTTTTGCTATGAGAAGCCATCGGTATGAACCCATCTGCAATAGGTTTCTTGAAAAGTTGCCCTGTGTTGGCTCCCTGTGTGATTTGTGTGGCCTTTTACCATTGTCCTGAATTGAGTTAGTCTTCGACTAACTACACCCAGTTTTTCACATAACAATTAACATTACAATTATTAAACTGTTGTGTATTAACTAATCAATCATATCTTTGCATTCCCCTCTTCCAAGTAAAGGACTTGCATGGATGCATGGATGGTGTGTTGATGCATATTACATCATGCTTTTCCCTTTTTGAAACCTCTTTGTCTTAATTACAGTGAAGAAAAAGCTTGGCTTCAAAAAAAGTGCTAGCATATGAGTTCTTTCCTGTGACATCCCAGCCCTCACCAAGAGCTCTCTCATGTGACACATACCTTTTAAGAGATCAATCTATGGAGCAGCTATGCTGTGCAAGATACCCCTTCTCTAAAAGGCATATATTTAAATGATCACATCATACCTGGAGATTCTCAGCAATAAAAATCTCAGCCATGCAAACTACCTTTTGCCTGGTTAAGGACTCCTATTTTTAATATGAGCTCTCCTGAAATGCTTTCAGGAAACTAAGCCCTGCCCCAGATTTATCAGCTACAAGTTCTGTCACTATTTGAAGCAGAAGTGAATTTCCAACTCTGTAAGAGTTATTGCTAGGACATTTACTTCTGGAAGGAGCATGTGGTAAGTGTTGCTCCTCTAAGTGCTACATTTATACTGCCACCAAGTCAGGTTCTAGAAGTTTCTAGTTCCTCATATCCACTTCCAGCTGTGCTGTTAGAAGACTGGCCTCTGCTGGGAGATAATAATATAAGAAATGCCAGGGCTTTTAATTTACTCCTGTGTTGTGTTCTTACTTAAAGGAAACACATAATAATGACTTAGATAATAATGCAGTTTTCAACTGAAATCAGTAAGAGATGATGAGGAGGAAAAAATCTAACACACATTTTTAGCACAGAGATCCTTGCAGCCTAGATACAAAATAAACTTCTCCCAGGGAGTTCTTCATTTGTGTGTACAATTATGTTTAGGGTGCTTTTATTAATCAGTTGTTTTTCCCATGGAATGCAGAGGTGTGAGAATATAAAGTGTGCCCTTTTTATTGCTGTTTATAGATTTTGGTCTGTGTGATATTATTTAAGCTGATAGACCTCTATGAAATGTGGGGTTTTCCAATTATCTAACACTTTGAAGGGCCTATTTTGGGTTCGAGGTAACCTTGAATAATAAATGCACATGTTTCTCCACACACACTAACAAAAAATGGTTGATAACTGGTTAACAAATGCCACTAGTAATGTGTTTCTTTTTCATGATGCATGGATGGTGTGTTGATGCATATTACATCATGCTTTTCCCTTTTTGAAACCTCTTTGTCTTAATTACAGTCAAGAAAAAGCTTGGCTTCATTCCCAACCTACGTTGAAGGTAAGAGCTCAAAATACAGAGCACTGAATATTAAGCACATGAATCTTTCCGCATTTGGGGCATTTCGAGCACTGGAGATAAGGAAATAGTGGGAAGAAGGGACACAGACTTGACATTCTTAGTATCTTAGACTGTAATAGCTCTGAAGCTCTCAGAAACCCTCTTCCCTGGCTCCTCATGTGGATAGCAAACCCGAGGGTGGAGGTGAGCCTCTGGGCTTCATCCATCTTAGTCATGATCTGAAACCCAAGTCTCCCTACTGCTAGCCCAGTGTACCTCTTGCATCCCTCAAAGATAATTCAAGTGGGAATGAATTTAAGGGAAGAAATTTTGGTCCCCTTCATAAAACATTACCAGTGGTTCCCATCTCTTGCTGGGACGAGTAACATTTATTGAACATCTAGTCTGGGTCAGGAACTATTCTAAGCACCTTGCGTGAAATACTAGTTGAATCCACACATCAATCTTGGGAAGTGGGTTTTATTATTATCTTCTTGTTTTGGTAAAAGAGAACCAATGATCAAGAGAGTGAGTAACTGGGCCAAGATGATGCAGTTAGCCAGCTGCAAAGCCAGGCTGTGATCCAAGGGCAGGCTGACTCCGCAGGGAGCCACCTCTGGTTGTGCACGTTATTCAATGCAAAAGGAAACCCATTCAGGAAGCCTCCTGGGACTAGACTGTAGCTCAAGCTTTGTGCCCTTTTTTTGTGACATTTGAGGTCAAGCCACCCAAATGGAGTGCCAGTTTCTCATTCACGGAGTCTGTCTCTGGCTATAGGATGGCCCTGATGCTCTAACTGTAGGTGGTTTTTCAGGTAAGGCAAATTGCCATCTTCTTAAAGTTGGCCAAGCCCAGCCTTTGGACCCTGTGAGGGAGCCGTTAGGATGCTCTGAGTTACCAGAGTTCATAAACCTTCATGAGCCCTCAGTCCACAAGCCCAGAACAAGATCCTAGTTTTGGTTTAGTAACTCCTGTTTCCTTATTAAATAATCTGTTATTTGCATAATTTTTGTGAATTTCTGGAATTCCATGAGAGCACCTTAGAAAGTTTCCAGAAGTTTCCACTTTGTCTCTCCAGGCCTAGGGATTTTCAGTCCCAACAGTAGTGAGAGGATGCATCCCATGATGTGCTCCTTGACTCACAGGGCAACTGCAGGCCTCATGGAATGGAAAACTGTGTTCTAAAAGGCCACCACAAAACCTGCAATTCTTTGATGCAGGATCATTGTAGCTTTAATTTTTAAAAAATATTTTTTAAAATATACTGGCACCAAGCCTAAAGTGAATTTATAAAAATACTTTTTTTTTTTTCTGGGCATGATAGACAGGTACATTCAATTATAGTCAATTTCCCTGAAGGACAAATGGTATGCGATCGTATCTCAAACTTAGACTTTGTTTAGGTCTGATATTTATGTGCCTTTGTTGCTAGGCACTTATGTGATGATTCAAGTATTATTTAGATTTCTTTTAAGAATACCTGCATACTCACTGCCATTGCAAAGGGACCCTTTTCAGTGAATAGTGCTAAATCAGAGATGGCTATGTCAAAGCCGCACAGAAAAAGGAAAGATGGGTTGAACATTATATTCTAAAAATAGATGGAAGGTTCTTAAAATTATCCCAGGTGAGATTTTTGTCTCAATATCTGATTGACAAAAATGATTTAGTAACAATATAAATCCATCCTCTAGGCGCTTATCATAGAAGACGGCAATCTTTTTTACTTTATATTGATAATAGTGTGGGTCCAAAACTGTCTGTGTTGCCTTAGAGCTGGACTTCCCTACTCTACAGGTAAAACACATATCACAAATAACCCAACTCCTCAAAGCCACACAAGTTCCAGGGTGGGAACCAGGCAGCTGCTGAGAAAGATACATAATGGCCTTAATTTTGGGAGTGGTTTATAGTAGTTTTGATTAGAACCTGATGCCCCCATTTAAAATAAGGCTTGATTTACTAGGCTGGTGAGTGAGAACAGAAAATTTGATCAGTGTGTGGGCCTAGACTGTGGGCATTATGGCCTCTAAGTTGGCAAGCCTAGCAGCATGAGACCATGGCTTTGGGGTCAGAAGCCATCATAGAAATCCAGATGTTTTGAAACATCCCATTTTTCTAATTAAATGTGTTTCCTTCACTTGTGGACTAAAGGGAAGAAGGAGATATGAATAGGTGACAGGTAGTAGGGAGTGCTATAAATGGACATTACCCAAGGCAGCCTTCCATTCACCTAACCATTTATTCAGAAGACATCTAGTTGATACCAATTAGGTGACCAGCACTGGAACATGACAGAGATGAATATGACATGGTCCTTGTCCCAAAGAACTCAGTCTTGTCACTAGACTTTCTTTCAGACTTAAGTCAATACTTGAATCATTTCAAACGGCTCTAAGAAACCGTGCCTTCTGTGTGGAAAGGAGGGGTGACATCAATGCCTTAGACCAGCTCTGCCAGCAGGGAGCTTGGGGAAGGGTGTACATGGTCTGGATGTAGAGGGCCTGCCCAGGATGGCTTCACTCACCACTGTTCTCTCTGTGTTACAGTTCCTGGACCTTGCGACCCTGAAGACTTGATCGATGGAATCATTTTTGCTGCCAATTACCTTGGCTCCACCCAGCTGCTCTCAGACAAAACCCCCTCCAAAAATGTGCGCATGATGCAGGCCCAGGAAGCAGTTAGCAGGATCAAGGTGAGGAGATCTGCAAGGTTGGAGGGGGATGGTGGGCAACTGCAGGCACCTGAGAAGTTTATAGCATCATCCCACACCTGTGTCTAGTCCAAGGTCAGAGAGTAGATTGAAATATCATAAGCAGGGCTCATCTATGACCCTGCCAACAGTTTTAAACAGAAAAGGATTTCTAATGTGCACTGGAGTCTTTTTATTTATAAACACTATCAATTTAGGTTGTTCTCACTAGCCAGTCTTGAGGAAAGTACATATGATCATAGACTGAAAAGTTGATATAATGAGGAAGGACGTCATTTTGAATATTATGCCTCAAATGTGAGATGGATCCCTGGATTACCACTGACAGAGGTCCATTGGTATTAGGCTTGGTTCAAACTAGGTGGCATTGCTTTTTAACCACTTGATACTGTTCAAGACAGACTGAACTGGTTAGCTTCAAGTAGAATGAAAACCTAACCTGGCTAGTCTGAATAAGTCAGGGCAAAGGTAATCCGGTTTAAACTAGTTTGAGCAAACCATAACCTGTTTCAATCTATTTTTAAAAGACTTTAAAGGAATAAACCTATTTGGTCATTCACAACTAGTTTGAACCAGCCCAAACCAGTTTGAGCCTATGGAAATGCAGAGTTCTATGATTCTTTCAGACATCATGGTAGAGATTCTAAACAACTAGGACACTTAATGTGTGTTCATGCCACAGTGCACCCAGCCCTTAGAACTGCAGACAGTGTTCATTCTAAAATCCAGAATGAGACATTTCCAACAAATTGGAATAAGTTAGGACTCACCAAAATTGACTTATCCAGTGTCAGCTGGTCAAAATTGATTCCCCCCTCCAAAAGGCCATTCCCTTTTCTCACACATTCCCCAGGTACATCCTGAAATGACAGTATGGAATAAGAAAGAAGAACAAGCAGACAGCATTAAGAGAGTCCTTAACCTTTTGATTAAAGAAAAATATCCCTTTAGCACATTTTTGTGTAGGCTGTGCCAGGTCCTAGGAAGGAGACAGGAGGAATCAAGCCAGCAAGTGCACAGGGCAAGCCAGAGGTATCTGGTCCAGGCCTCTTACCCGAGTTGATTCCAGTGGTAGTCACATGTCCAGGTTCTGCCCTGTGGTTGGTGAATATTGAACAGGTCATATTTCCATTGCTGCCTTAACTATCATGTTTTGAGCCCCCAGCTTCCCAGTTATACTGCAGTTCCCCAGGATGCTGTGTGCATGTCGCCGGGTCTCCTCTCATTGCTTCCTCATCAAGCAGCTCTCCATTGCACCTGCTGCCATCATATGTTACTCGCTGCTCTTATCATGGCTCTGTGCTGGGAAGAAGCACTTCTCTCCCAAGCTGCCCCTTCACTTAACTTATAGTATGTACAGTAAGCCATTCTGCAACTTCTGACACCTTCAGATGTGTACACCAGGGGATCTTTTACAGCTATCTCAAAGGTGGCTATTGTCACAACACTGATAGGACCTACCAGTTGTTCCAGGGGCCCACTCAACCAGTTCTTCAGGGACACACAAACATTGTCTGTGCTTCAGGAGCCCTACTGCTATAGGCCTCGTTCTGTGGCATGTGTTCTTCTCCTGAAGTTAGTCTCTTCCAGGATGATGGACAGTGGGGAAACGCCATGAAAGCATAGTAGGAATGTCATTCAAACTAAATAAGCAAAGAGCGTCAACAGATTATTGTTAAGCTATCGATCCGCGCTTGGTGGGTTAGCTTTTACCTTCTGATTGTTACAGTGACTGGGGGAATTTCTTAGGCCAGGCTGCTCAACACCCTGTAATGTACAAGATAGAGCCACACAACAAAAATTCATATCCACCAAGTGTTCCCAACATGGAATGCAGCTAGAGGAATCTACCAAAATAAAGCAGTAGATCAGCCCCTAAAGGAAAGGGGAGTCTTTTGAGATAGAAAACTGTGTGTTGCTTTCAGGTTAGTTTCTCCTAAGTTCTATATAACAGGTTTCAAAGTTTTTAAGATTCAGGTTTTATTCTGGGTACTTTATTTATTTGCCACTTAATAGCTTTTGGCTCCTGCAGCTGGAGTGTCTGCATCTCTCTCCTCATCTTATGACATTTACATAGGACTAGGTGGTCTGATAAGGGGCAGAAAGACACAAGGTACATCACTTGAACACAAAGCATCTTGCATGGTACACTGTAGCATCCCTCTATCAGACTACATCCAGTGACCATGGTAGCCCAAATGAGGTTTTCATGTTTCCACTGTGGTACCTGATAATGTTGTTCTTCCTTCAAGGAAATCAAATTTTCATAAGAAGCCAGAGATTTTACTCTGAAGCTTTCAAGGAATATATATCCATAAGTTCCTCAGTTCATTTTAGCCTAACGCTCCATGGCTCTGTTGATCAGAAAAGGCAAGATAGAGGCTATTCGATTATGAATACATTTCAGACCTGTCTAGAGCAGAGTAGACATTTGAAAAACATGTGTTTATTTTTTTTTCAAGCAAATTACTTTGATTAAAGGACCCCATTACAGAGTGGTAAAATTAAATGGATGCATTGACACTTAAGTGTTATTTTATAATGTGCTTCTATGCATTGGAAAGAACTGTTACCTGTCATTAAATATTTTTGGCTTTGTGTTCCTTTTACATTCATTTAAATGTGCATCAGATCGTTTGACCTCACACCCAGCCAGAAGCCTTTTCCAAGTTTAAGTGGAGATGGCTGTTGATTTCAGCACCCCTGGAAAGTGGCTGTGTCAGGGAGCATGCACACATTTTGCCAGAAGCAAAGGAGAGCATTGATCCCCAATAGTCCAGGCTCAAGGAGAACTTGCACCATGATGCTCTCTAAGGGAGATGTCATCACACTGGTTCCTTAAGAGCACCAGACCTTTCAGGAATGAGTTATTTGAGACCACTTCAGTAGAAGAAATGCAGAGCCTAGCAAGGCTGCAGATTTCACAGTACCCACCCAGGAAGGAAAAAGAAAAGCTCTAGGGATTTATTTCGCAATTCATTTAGAAGCCTTGTCCTTAACCTCAGGCTGATGAGTCATCTTCAGATGGGGTGCTTTTCTCTACACCACAGTGAAGCAGCTTCCCTTCCCCACCCCTCCTCCTGCAGACCCTGTATTTCCTCTTTCCTCTGCCTCCATGAATTGTTTCATGTTGCTGGAGGGATGCAAGTGCAGCCTGGTATTTGTGCTGCCTTCTTTGAGCAGACTTGGACCCTGAAGCCAAGTTTTCATTTTCCATTTCTGGTCTATTTGTCCTGGTGTCTGTCACTCACATAGCACCAACTATATGCTAGGATAGAATGTCACTCATTGGATTTATACTTGGAATTCGGAGAGTTACTATTTTCTTAACAAAAAATTTAGATTTGACAAATGGAGAGAGAATTTGGAGTTGTGCTTTGGCCAGTCATTTTCCACTTCATGCAAAAAGAAAACAAAGGAATTTGACTCAAAGAGCAAACTGTATTTCTGAGAAGTCCTGTAATAGGCACTTTAGAAGTCAAAATTAACCAACACACTCCTTGACCTTGAAAACTTGCAGTCTAATAAAAGGAGCCAGAAAGACCATGTAGGTAAGAAGACTACAAGGCAAACTGTGGAAACCTAAAGGCAACTCTGTCTACCAAAATATAAGAAATGAATCATGTCTGAATACAGTAACGGAATTAGAAGATACCTAATGGTTTGGGGAGGGTTTCCTAAACCATTTTTGGTTGGCCCCTCCTTAATATTTCCTTTCTGCCCTTGTTGTTCATCCATTTTTTTAAGAAGAAATACTATTCTTCCAGGACCTGCACTCCTCCCCGACATACCTTAGAACAGTGGCTTCTCACAGTGTGATTCCAGGACCCACAGCATTCACATCTCTACAAACTTGTGGAGCAGGTTTTTTGACATGGAGGGAATAGAGGGCACCACTCAGGAGACCAGAGAGCTTACACTCTGAGACCACAGGCATGGCCAGCTATGGGTAGACTCATGCCAAGACTTAAGGAAGGTACCTAACAGTTCCTACTGCCCTTCTTCTCTGCTCTGCACACAGGCTTCTGACAGGGCAAAGTGGGAACTGAGAGTCCACTGTTGCCCTGCACACAGGGGCATGCTGAAGAGCCCTTGAGCAACTCAGTTGGTTCTGACTATTGCCACATCCCAGGTGTGTATGGCCAAAGGGGGCTCCAAGAGGAACTTTACCCTGCTCTGGGCATGTCCCACAACCAAGGTGGGCATTAGTGCTAAAGGAGTCTGCAGGGGGAGAAAAGCCCCAGCTGCTCCCCTGCCTGTGGGTATACAGGATCAAAGGTCCCTCTCTTCTACATAATAGCAGAAAGGAAAACCATACTTCTTGCTGCCACCCACCCACATGGTTCCTCTGCACCTTGTTTGACCACACAATGCTGACAGGACTGGGTGTGAGCACCACAGAAGGGAACACTGCAGCTGCTGCCACCACCTCTCCCTTGTAGTGTCTGGCCCTCACCACTGTTCAGGCTTCAGGCTCACTGTGAGTGCCAAAGGCCTTTGCTAGGAACAGAGCCAAGGTCAACATTACCAGACAGGGGCCCCCACTCCCACTGTATGAGTAGTCACACACTGTGCGCCTCACACAGTCTGCCGTCTATATCTCCTGTCTGAACTATTGGAGTGTCCCCGCTCTCTCATGGCCCAGAGATGCGGGATCTCTCTGACTGTGATACGGTGTGCATATTGTGCTCAAACTCACTGACCACAGCCAAAGAAGTTGTAGAGACTATGCAGTGTTGCTCAGCTAGGATCAAAGCCAACACTACATGATAAACTGACACCCCAAAATATCTTCATGAGAAAGATGCTTACTGTGAAGGCCATCCCATAAAAGTGGTAGTGAAATCTGATCCATCAGATGCAGGCATCTAATGAAGGAATACAAGAAATATGAAAAAAAAAACAAGGTACTATGACACCTCCAACAGATTCCAAAGAAATCAAAATGGAGGAAATGCCTGATAATCAAATGATACAGAAAA